TCAAGTCCCAAAATTAAAATCTGTGAGATGAAGTAAATAGGCTTCAGTCCATGTGGTTTCTTCTAGAAATTTAGTCCATTAGAGCAGAGTCTACCATATTCAACAGTGTCTCTGAATACATGCATACATTTTTCTGTCTCATGTAAGTCAAGGATCCACCAAAGAGAAGTCTGAATAATTTGGTAGATCTTTGGACAATTTTAGTAGATTGGCAAGGATTTTGACCATTGTATAACTGCCATTCCTGTCTTAAACTATTTTATTAATAAAATGAAGAAAAGTTTGGATTTCATTGTTGAAGGATTCTCAGCTCTTCATGTGCCTTTCGCAGCAAATAGATTTTTGAGTTCTAGTTAAAGCAAATATCAATACCACAAAACTGTTCCTATACTCAGTGACTAAGCCATCATAGTAAAAAGGAGGAATCTACCTAAAATTAGCTATCTGGTTTGCCAAGCAAGAGTCTCGATACTTCTAATATTATTATGTTTCTCAGTATCTACAGGCAATCATCAGTTTTTAATAATCGGAGATTAAGATTGGATTTAGAGAAGTATCTTGCTCCACCTTCAACTTCTTAGCTTCCCTCTTTCAGTATGGCTGTTACCCTTGTCGTGAACCATTATAGCTTCCCTGTTTCCCTCAATGGTTAACCTAATAGTAGTGGTCAGCATCTTGGCATGTGTGCCACCACTGTAATAACAAATATAATAGTCTACTCTAAATCGTACTGTATCTCTGGCACAGATTGTGGGTGTGGAGTGTTGTATAGGATTTGGGAATGGAATTGGCACCCTCCTCCCTTCCCATCACCCATCAGATGTGACAGTTTAACAAAATAAAAAGGAAACTGTATTCAAAAGACATTATTTACACAAGCAAACATATAATGCCTTATTGAACGGTGGCCAATACATTCCCAGACACAGATTTGTTGGCCTAAACTGCTGTGAAGGAATTTTTAACTGTATTTTTTTGGCAGGCGAAATTAATAAAAAAAAATAGAAGGCATACCAGATGGAGGTTTTTGAATTTCCATAAATGGTTAAAAATTGCAGAGAATCATGTCTCTAATTATCAGGAGCCCACACTGAACTGTAGTGCTGCCCTGTCTTTTTATGCCAATTAATTAAAGTATCACAGTATATCTTTCCATAAGTCCATTCTATGATAGAAGTTGATTATATACAAACAGATGAGCAGTCATCTTTTGTGCAATACTAAATTTAGCCTGATGATAATAATAAATATTTAATTATATCCCGCTTTTCTCCCTCACGGGACCCAAAGCGGCTTACAACATATTAAAATCATATAAACAACAATCAGAATACATCAATAATAAATATAAGCATCATAAAATAAGCAAATTTGAGAAACAGGTGCAGTGTACATTCCCATCAAGATATATTGCACATTGCTCCAGTCCATAATGTATGATATTTCCTTCACTAAAAACCTATCAAAACAAGAAGGTTTTTAGTTGGATCTTAAAAAAATAAAGGGATCTGTTTTAATTTCTTTTGGGAGGGTGTTCCACAAATTCAGGGCAGCCACTGGAAATGCCCTCTCCCTCGTTGATGTCAATCACATTTGCGACGGTGGTGAAAGTGAGAGTAGGATCTCCCCTGAAGATCATAAAGAGCGAGTCAGTTGATATGAGGAGATGCAGTCAGATGAGTAAGTTGGACCTGAACCTTTTAAGGGTTTAAAGGTCAAAACCAACAGCTTGAATTGGGCTCGGAAACAAATTGGCAGCCAGTGAAGGTGCCGTAGCAGAGGAGTTGTATGCTCCAAGCATCTGTAAGTAACCTGGCTTGCAGCTCTTTAGACTAATTGAAGTTTCTGAGCACTCTTCATGGGCAGCTCCACATAGAGCCTGTTACAGTAGTCTAGATGAGATGTAAGCAATGCTTAGTTGAAGGAAACAATATATTAACAAAACAATTTACTTTTTTTCTTTCTTATTTTCCTGCAATTGAGCTAAAAGTGAGAAGTATGGTTCTCTACTCCATTTCATTTTGTCTTTACAGTTCTGTGGAGTTGGAGGAAAGGGTAGTGATTAGCCAAAGGTCATATGGCAAGGGTTTCATGATTGAATGTTACTTTGAACCTGAGTTTCCCTTGTTCTGACCCAAAACTCTAATGGCTCTCCTTTTACACTTTAATTAGCATGAAATAAAAAGATAGATTCTATATTTTTAGAATGTGTTCCTTGTGCCTTGCTTATATTTTTCGTATAGTTATACATTCTATATTTTTAAAAGCTTCATTCCTACTTATGTGCACAAAGTACTTAACTAGCACTGCCAAATGACTACTGATCTTTTAAAGCCTTACCTTTGGAAATGACATGTCTAAACTTATAGCTAAAAATGCATGTTGTCAGAATAAAGATTTTTTACCTCTTTTTTCTAAAATGCATTGTCTACCACACCTGTTTGAAATATAAAAAGTTATTGAGCATGCATACTCACATTTTTAATCAAAAACGGATTCTCGGAAACAGAAATAACTTTTGAATAGCCTTACTGGTATAGTTTGTTCCTTAAATTGAGTATATATTTTACTGACATTAAGAGTTTTCTTTGGAGATTTTTTTAAAAAATCCTACTTTGTTACAAATGGACTGTAAACTAGATATAAACAATCTCAAATGCATTTAGTTTTCTGTGGAGTCAGAAGCTTGTATATTCTCAAGATCAGTAGATGCTTCCAAATTCATAATGTCCTTGGAGCTTTCTTCCCATCACACCACACATATAAACTATAGAACCGAACTGTATCAGAATTGGTCCATAGTGATGTGTAGTATGAAACAAAATTAAGTTTGTACTTTGTAAGTGTACTTTTAGGCACTGGCCCATTTGCATAGGCATTATGGCTACCGGAAAAAGCTAGCTCTATCCATTAGTTAACCCTCCAAAAAATAGACAGAAGCTAGCTCTGTTCATTAGTATATCGCTCCAAAAGCTAGTTAAATTCTTTTCTAGAAATCTGTATTTAGTTCTTACGGATGCTTCATGGATAACATTTTGATCTGGCTTGTCTAAACATCTCATGAGAATACCTAAGTTTATTATACTTGCCTAAATCCAGTGTTGCTCTCATGGTGGAACACCAGAGCTTGCTTTCTTCATCCCTCCTGTAGTCCTTGGTACCAATGAGATTTAGCTTCAGAGGATTTCCCAGTACTCTGGAGCAGATTTTTGAGTGCACAAAGGAGTGAAAAGGACAGAGGAGATTGCCACTGATGGAAGGAGATCGTCAACTGATTGATTATATTAGACTCTGACCAGGAACTTAGAACAGTGCAGTCCTGCCCATGTTTATGTGACCATATTGTGTTCTGAGAGGTTTACTCACTAGTATATGTGTCTGAGGTTACAGGCCGAATCATTTTAAGAGATCATATTTTCTCAGTTTTATATAATTTAACCAAGGCTGAATGGCTTCACTTGTTCTGAGTGGTGGATTTATATTTTGCTGTCTGTGCTTTGGCTCTCTTTCCATTCTGTCAGGATAATATGACAGATATTTTAACAGAAATTGAAAGGTATTAACAATCTTTCCATATGTGTCATCCTTTTCTGAAACAACTCTGAAAAGATGTTTGCTTTGTGCCAATTTATAATCCTTTTCATTAGCTAGAAATCTTGGCCAGATTGCTTCAGACTATTTTGTGAAAAAGCAAACAATTATCTTCTTGCCAATATAACAAGAGTGTGTAAAAAGTATTCTTTTTAAAATCTCAGGTTTTGGAGTTTACATATATGATCAGAGTAGTTTTTGCACCTTTCTTATTCATATCTGTATATCTAAAAGTGAATGTATGTATGTACGTTCCACAAAGGCTTTTACATGGCGTGATGCATCTGGACCAGACTTGATACACATGCCCTTCATTATCCAATTTAAAGTACATGGATGGTTTCAACAAATAAACCTACCCCATTTGGGCGTAGGTCCCAAAATGAATAAATATGTATGTATGTATGTATGTATGTATGTATGTATGTATGTATGCAGCACTTAGGTGAACCCACAAGAGGGCAATATATAGATAGAAAGGCTACCTCTGAGGGAGAGATGGCAAATGGAAGAGAGCTGGAATGTCAGCAGAATGACACTCTAGAAGTCCCTCGCATGGATGAGAGTATAACAAAGCAATGCTTGATGGAGCAATGTAAGCAGGGAGGTTGTGCTCAACACTGGTTGGCCCTGCTCCATCTGTATTGTGATGGATCAACAACAACCCTAATGCAGTTGGACAAGAAGGCGATTAGAAAAAAAAATCTTGAGGTGGATACATCTGACAACTTGCAGACTGATAAACAGAAGGTTTTACTACTTGGTACCCTCTACTAAAGAGTGACCAATATTGTCAACAGTATCTTCAAGACAAGTCTATAGCCCTTAGAAAAGCATTTACAGCCCTGCACTTCCAAACAATGGCATCAGGCTGGCTAGAGGGAAGCTATAGAGATATCCCTCATGCCCAATGACATTGTATTTGTGAGTCGAGGGAAAGAGAAGATTTAACCCACTATCTGTTACATTGCCCTTTGTATAATGACCCTAGAAACAATCTTCTGGAATGCCTTTTGGAAGAAAGGGCAGCATGGCAACAGTCAGCAGTTATCTGTGACTTGTTAGCGGATTATTCCAAAAATACAACATTAAAGGTTGCCACATTTGCAGTCGCAGCCCCAAAAAATCCGAGCTAAACTAGTAAAGTCCACAGAAATTGAAATGGAGATAGTTTGGATTCAAATAAGACATTGCTATTGTTATCATGTCACTGCTACTGTAATTTTAAAGAACAAGTAGAATAAGTATAATGTTTATATTGGGAAGTGCTTTTTGTATATTATTATTCATAGAAGTTCCTCATGGAAATTCTAAGGGAAGCCTTTTCAGACAAGAAAGGAATCATTACGATGACAAAATATCTGCAGCGTTTATTGTTTCCTCATTACAGCAAAATCTTATTTCTGTAGGTGAACTACAGCAAGAAATGTTAGAAGATGCACAAAAGAAACTAATGAACCTCATAAACAGCACAGAAGGAAAAGTGGACAAGTGAGTCTCTAAAATGAGAAAAATGTTTTATATTTGAGGTTTAAATTCTCTCTTTTGGAAAGAACACGCACCTTTTCTAAAACACTTGCTGTGACATGAAATGCCTGTTTCAAAAGGTGTTTTGTATTATGGTGGCCATATTCAATTGGTCACAATCAATTAACTAATCTTCCAGATTATTTCTTTCAAGAGCCCCCTCCCCAATATTGAGCACCACTTCAGAGGAAATATAACTAACATTTAAATTGATTCCTGATATTTCTCTCCTTTCCCACATGGGAGATAGAAGGAGGAGAACAACTTCAGTGAAAGCTTGGGGAATTGTATACAGTTGGTAATACTGACTCTCACCTTGGTCTTCAATGAGATGATTCAAGAAGGGAAACAAGCCCTCCAAAATAATAAAGTACAGGCAGCCTCCAAGTTACAAACAAGATAGGTTCTGTAGATTTGTTCTTTAGTTGCATTTGTTTGTAAGTCAGAAGAGGTACATTTTAAAGTTTATATCTAGCCAGAGAGAGAGAGAGAGATAGAGAGCACTTTGGATAGCACAGAGAAGGGTCCTGTGTGATTAATGTGTATTTTATAGAAATACTTTACATGTATCGAGCCATGGGGAGAGGCAGATAAGAAATAAAAAATATTATTATCATTATTATTAACATCCTTGTGGTGTTTGTTTTGCTGTCTGTGCCCCTGTTCAGAAAATGTCCCAGTGAGAATTGGATTTGGAAAAGTTTGGCTTGTTGTGGAAACAAGGATTGGTGAGAAAGCTTCAGTTGAGACACCTTTTCCCCATGATAATTTTTCCAGGAGTGAATTTCCCTTCCAAGGAGTAGATTTCTCTCATTTCACCCCCATTCTTAACTATGAGTCATTTGTAAGCTGGATGTTTGTAACTCGGGGACTGCTTGTATAAGACATTGGATGAGGTTGTTCCAACCAGGCTGCAAGACCACATTGCTTCAGATTTCTTTTGAAGTGAATCCCATCAAGATTAATGGGGTATACTTTGTCTGGTCCAGGCAGCAAGGTCTTTTCTTTCATAATTAATACTGTGATGCAAAATAAATTTATTCTCTAAAACCCAATATGATTAAGTACAATTTCTTTAACTGAGGAGCAACCCAAATGCTTGTGATATATGTCCATATTGTAGAACTCACCTTGGAGCTATGCTGTTGTGTACACAATCTCTCTGACAGTGCTATGTTTCTGCACAACTTCACACCAAGTTTATGCAAGAAAAAATTATGTCAGATTGTTCTGTCAGGAATTAAAATATGCAAAAATGTTCATGGAGAGTTTTCTTTAGAATACAGTAAGACCTTTGTATTTGCTGGGGTTTGGTTAGACACGCACGCACGCACGCACACCCAATGGATACCAAATCCATGAATGCTCAAGTCCCATTAGATACAAATGGGATAGTTATGTGGCAATCCTTATATAAAATGGTAAAAGTCATGTTTTGATTTTTGGATTTATTGTAGAGAAGTGGAATATTTCAAGCAATGGATGGTCAAATCTCTGGATGTAGAATCCAGGAATACATAGTGCCAGCTATATTCATTTAAAATTCAACTCCTGCAAAACAAATAAAGGTTAATTTACTAGCCTTTAATTTAGTTTGTTAAGTAGATTAATGTATTTTCTGCACTGATTCTTTTCTGTGGCAGTATTATTATAGTGCCATAAAATGATAATGTGCTGTAAGTAAAGAGCAGAGATGGAAGAAACATGTAAGTAAAGAGCACAAAGTGCCAGATCTGTGATTGGCACAAAGCAGTTTATAAAAAAAGAAAAGTTACTCAGCCTGGTCTTTCATTACATGTCAAAATTATTTTGAAATCCTTTTAATGTCTTAGCCCATCAAATAGTTCTTGTTTTCCAACGTATTGCCTCAAAAGTAAGACTTCTATTCCTTTTTTTTTTAAATATCTTAATTCAGACTTCTATTCCTTACTACTTGAAACAGTATGGACTTAGGATATGCAGATTTATAGTAAGATCAATGCAATTCCTTTTCTTGATTATCAGCACTGTCAAGTAATGCTAGATTTTTTTCCACAATGATAGGGTGCTGATGAGAAACCTTTTTATTGGTCATTTCCATACTCCAAAAAATAAGCGTCATGAAGTGCTCCGGCTAATGGGAAATATCCTGGGAATACCAAAGGAGGAGATTGAGCAGGTAATTCCAACATCTTGCTTCAATTTATTGATGGCCATTCCAGCAGACCAGCAACTTACCTTACAGTAGGGAGCTAAACACAGTGGAGAGCCAGGCTGTTGATCATCTACCATTGTGAAGTTGGAAAAATTGTAAGCAAATTATGATGTTGTCTTTATTTTGATATTTTAAAATTAAAGCAGATGAGTCATTTTGAGCTAATTGTTCATGTCTTCTAATGAAGAAACTGTCTCAAGTACTGTTGGTCACATGGACTATACCCTATTCACCAAGTTATTCCAAATTGTCCAGTTGAAATTAGCTGAACAGTTTTGAGTCTGACCGAACTGTTGATACTAATATGTTCTTATAAAAGACATTTGATTTGTCAGTACATAGGAAGAAGAGCCTTTTTCATAGAAAACTGCATTGCTCCCCTTTTGTTCCCGTGTCAGGAGCGACTTGAGAAACTGCAAGTCGTTTCTGGTGTGAAAAAATTGGCTGTCCACATAGACGTTGTCCAGGGATGCCATCCTGGGCAATGTCTATGTGAGAGGCTTCTCTCATGTCCCCGTATGCGAAGCTGGAGCTGACAGGTGGGAGCTCACCCTGTTCTCTGGATTTGAACCACCAACCTTTTGGTCAGCAGTGCTGCTGGCACAAGGGTTTAACCCATTGCTCCAATGGAAGTTCCTGCTCCTCTAGCTACAAGAAGATCAGTGTGTGCTCAGAGAATGAAATGGTATCTAAATTGTGTATGAAGAAATTTTGAAGATTGCGCACATTATATAATTTCTATTCTCTCATGTAAGATTTATCTTCCTTCTGCAGATTATTCAGAAAAATAGTCAAAGCTCCATTGCTAGAAACTATGATTTCTCCTTTGCTTTTGAATGGCTTGTTTGTTTCATAGCATTGTTATCCTTAATAACGGTAAACCTATTTACTGTATATAACTGCATAGTTTATAATGTGTTTTAACATATCATTTGATATATTGTCATCACCCCCCCCCACACACACACACACACTTATTTATTTATTTGCGCCATTTATATGCACACACACACATACAATACATTATATACCCAGTTTGAATAGTAAATGTATAAATAGTAAAAGTGATAGCATCTGTAATGAAGGGCAGGATCAGCTGAGTTTTCTTGATACAAGAATAGAGCAAGTGAAACTAGGAGGAGAGGGCCCACCTCCTTCTGTAGGTGTTCATGTGCTCCCAAAACCAGCCCTGGAGGACTTATGTTGTACCCAGAGCTGTTTTTCAGCTTGGGTGGAAGATTGCAATGGGCAAGGAAGAAATTGAAACTATCAACACATTGTTGGATTTATTCTTGTTTTATGAGGTTGTAGCAGATTGTAATACCCTTTTTCTGGTTTAAATTGCTTTCTAGTTATTGTCTGAAGATCAAGCAGGTGTTACTCGATGGGTGACTGGGTGGTTTGGAGGAGGTGCTGGATCAAAAAGTGTCCCCAACACACCTCTGAGGCCAAGCCATCAATCGATTTTCAACAGTGTAAGTATTTTACTTAATTGCTTTTGTGTGGTAAATCCATGATTGTTTTTTCCCCTGAATTCTGACAAACTAACGTACTGCCTTAGATATGGAGAAGCTCATGACAAGAAGGCTTGCCTCAGGTGATAAATAGGCCTCAGCAGTTATAAACACAATGGAAGCAAAAAGTAATTGCAGTCCATGTTGGTAGAGCAGTGCCTACATCAATGAAATCATGGATCTTCAAAGTAAATTATATAGGACACTCTGTTAAGTTCTAAAACAAATTGTTAAAACATCAATCTTCTATATTTTAGTAAGCATTAATAAGTGAGGAGGCCCTTGACTAATTTCAACATACATGCAAACATACATGCAAAATCTGGTTTCATTCCTAGTTGACCTTAGAAAAAAAACTTTGATCATCTAAATTCCCTCCTTAGGATTGTATCCTGAAATCAGTGAGAACCTGATTCTCTGTCTGCTGACAGACAGTCCTGAAGATTTGTGTTAAACAATGTGATTATGTTGAAATAAAAACCATACTCGTAGCATTGTTCTACAGTACTTGATTCAAGGCATCTTGAACTGATGAGCCAAATATTTGTCACATAATTGGTGTATGAATGTTCAGTCTTTTTCAGAATTGTTTGTGAAGTTCCTTGAAACAGAATCCCGCCCAGTTCTTCCCCCACCAAAACTGTCTGTTCATGACATGAAACCTTTAGGAGCAACAGGAATTGGCAAACTTGGTGCTAATTCTTCCAGTAACATGACAGGTAATGCCTTTTCATTTTCTGAAGGTAGGAAACATTATATTGAACTTGAATGATGATGTTGCATCAGTTGAATATAGGTTTTCAGGGTTTTTAAAGTTAATTGCACAGCACAAGGTAAGATTAGAAGTCTTTTTTTTTTGACTTAGCAAAATGATAGGTTCAATTACAAGTGGGAATATTTTTAATCATGTGAATTTAATGTTTTTATTAGGTGTTTTTAATTTTTATGTTTTCATGTTTAAATGTCCTCTTATTTTAGGGTTAACTGTCTTATTGAATTTATGCGTAGTTATATGTTTAGATTTATGATTTGGTTTTTATGTATGTAAGGCATTGAATTTTGCCATTATTTGTTGTAAACCACTTTGAGTTACCCCCAAGGGTGAGAAAAGCAGTATATAAATACAGTAAATAAATAAATAATAAATAATATTTTTGCATTTCCTCAGCCTGCTATCAAAGCATTGTGACAGTGAAGCTGTAAATATGGTTTAAAAACTACACTTCTTATTTTTACTGCAGTCCTATAGATGATGACCTAAATTTCCAACAGAACCATGTTGTAGAAGCAAATTTATTTATTTAGTGTCAAAAGCATTGCATAAATCAGTATAAAACCAATAAAAATAGAAGGAGCACAAGTGGCTAAATCATTTTTGACCAAAACCGGACAACAGCGATCACATTTTGCTGTCCAGAGGGATGCTCTTGTTGAGTATTGTGCAATGCAAATGGTTAAGTAGAGCCCAGAAGATGGCTTTTCATAAAACACCATCTTTTGAAAAGTTTATGAAAACTTTGCCTCTCTGTGGAGAATGTTCCTTGCTACAGGGTTCTGAAAGTTTTCCCAGTGAATGCTAAGCTTTAAATTCTCACAGCAACGCTGGGAAATATCCAGTCTGAAAGCTTATCTTTGAAAGTTTATATTTTCAATAAAAGTATAGTTTATATACCTTTTGTTCTCTTATCACTCATAGTAGAATAGTGAAGGTGCCCTATTTTATTTGGCAGGCACCCAAATTTCTTGTCTGGACAAAAAGTTCAGAGGGACTTTGTCCATTCCTGAATTGGATTGGTGCCTTACAAAACCAGACATGCACTCTGTATCCCTTAATTGTTTGGGTATTTCAGATTTCTTTTAAAATGTTAAGAATAGATTAACAGACATAAATACATAGTTGCAAGGTTGGCCTCACTGAATGAAAGATTTATCTTTAACTATTATGCACACATTCCTGAGTGTCCCAATTCATTTTTAAAGTCTCTGTTCTGATTCTCATATAGAAAAAAATCCTTTTTTTAAAGAGATGGTTTGCTCAAAATGGTGGTGAATTGCAGTTTTGTGGGGACTTCTCCATGTGGCAACAAATTAATACACAGCAGTTCCCACATTTCCTTATTTCTCACAAATCCAATGCAAAATTATTTCTTGCTTCTTGGCAGGGGGTTGGACTGGATGGCCCATCAGGCCTCTTCCAACTCAATGATTCTATTATTCTATTTAGGTCATTTCTTTTTGCAAGACTGCTGCTCCACTGTTTTGTTGTTTTGTTTTGGGTTGTTTTTTTGTTTTTGTATTTTGGAAAAATAAGAATATGTTCTTTTCCATGTCTTAAAATAAAAGGGAAAGAAGTTGTCAGGTTATAATTAGTCTGTGTAGTGCCTTCAAGACACCTGTTGTATTGTGCATTTCATTGAATTAGGCAAGGGATACTCAGGTGTGATTTTACTAATTCCTTGCTCTGAAATATAGCCAGCACCTGTTATTCAGTGGCAGCCTCTCATCCAAGTATTTACCAAGGGTGACCCTGCTTAACTTCCAAGATTAGGAAGGATTCTGGTGCATAGTGGTAAATTGTGCTATTCATGGCCTTGAAACAGGTTGTGGCAAGTTCGCTGCTGGGAAGCAAGAAACTTGAATGAACTTGAATATAATATCCTTTCCCCTCCTTTCTCCTCCTATGTAGGTGTGAGGAGGAATAAAGCTAGATTAAATTTTATACCAGAAAATAATATTAAAACATTCAGAAGGTTAGGACACCAGACTATAATTAAATGACAAGCTTTCAACAGATGTGAGAGATCAGGGAGATCAGTCAGACCGCCACACTCTTCGTAGCAATTTTCTTCCAGCAAGTTTTCAAGAATGATTAGTCCCTGAAAGTGCCTGTTATTACCTATAAAGCCGTAAAAGGTTCAGGCCCAGACTATTTGACAAACCGCATCCCCGATTACAAACCTGTTCAGACTGCAGTCAATTGGGGATGCTCTCCTTTCAGTCCCACCCCCGTCTCAAGCTTGGTTGATGGGAACGAGAGAGGGGACCTTCTCCGTGGTCGCCCCCTTCCTCTGGAACTCCTTTCCTAAATAAATTAGAACTGCCTCCACACTCCTCTCCTTTAAGAAAAAGTTAAAAACTTCTGCTCACTAGCTTATGGAGAGTAAGATGAATAATTATCAACCGATTCCTTCATAGTAGATGAAACCTGACAACAACTATTTTAATTCATTGAAGAGCTATATTTTACATCGTTATGAGGATTTTAATTGTGGAATTATATTATTTATGATACCGGACTGACTGTGTTATATGCTTTTATATTTACATGCTTTTAGCCAAGGCTGTCTAGCTTGGTTTTAAATGTTTGCACTTTATACTGTACATGGCATTGAATATTTGCCGCTCTTGTTTATGGAAGCTGCCCTGAGTCTGTTTGGGATAGAGGTCGGGTTAGAAATGAAGTTGTTGTTGTTGTTAACATTCTGAGAAGGAGGTCTTCAATAACTAAGCAATATTTTCTGGGATTTTTTCTGCCAGATCCATCAGGTCCAGGAACCAGTAGGAGACCAGATGTGAATCCCTTCCTCGCACCCCGATCGGCAGCAGTCCCCCTCATCACCCCATCTAATCTTGGAACCAGCGGATCTGGGCATCTGCTTATGAAGCCTATTTCTGATGCCTTGCCCACTTTCACCCCATTGCCAGTAGCCCCTGATGCAAGTGCTGGGACAATACTGAAAGACTTGCTCAAGCAATAGACAGTTCCACATTGATGCTGATGATGATGACAGTAGCACTTTAAGGAAAACAAGAACACTGCATTTGTATAATATACCACAAAGAGGCCTTTTGTAAAAAGTTGTTCATATTCAATTGCTCTTAAGATGTTAATGTCTCTCCCACCTTCCCCCCACTTCCCAAATTTTCCAAAGTTTTTCTCTTGCCTATACATTGCTTTCGTAGTTGCCCTTACAGAATCAGTCCTTGTTTTTACTAGTTTGCTGAATCTACTTTCGAGTGGAAAATCCTGCCTGCATGTAAAACAAAAAAGCAAGATGTTTAATAATTCAATCCAAAGCCTTTCAACCATTCAACATCCATTTTAACACCAGTATTATTTTAACCTTATGTGCAATTTGTTTGGTTCTTCCTGCTATATCAAGAGGTGTCTGGTTTGCTGCTTTGGGGTCATTGGTTAGGGGGAATATATAAAAATATGCTCATCTCCAGAAAATAATTGCATATTTGGAAATGAGCACAATAGGATAGGCATTAGACAACATGTGGAAGGTATTTGGTCCAGTGAGGTATTGGTTTGGCACTTCTAACCCATGCCTTTCAAAGTAAGTTCATTGTTGTGTGTGCTGAGGAAGTCTGGGAGCTATGTGTTCCCAATCCTTGCAGAATGGTGAGGTTTAATCTTGATTCATCACCTCAGCCTGGAACATGAGTCCTTAGTTATGAGGAATGGAATATCATCATTCTATAAAGTGGAGAAGGGTGTAGAGAGTTCCAAAGGGAATGGCATTAGCTGACCAAGTCTATATTTCAAATATGCTCTAGACAGCATGCTCATGACAGTGCTGTCTCTGGGTGAGCAAGGAACTGTTAGTTTTAAGTTTAAGAAAACAATTAATGCAAGATTTTATTTCTGGGCAATACTTCAGTTGTTGCTTCCTAATTCCAGGAGCTATGTAATACAACAAATATTCCAAACCTGCCAGCATTAATTGAGTTCATGATTAATTTTCATTTGACCACTAATTGCAAACCTGACTTCCCATTTGTATATTTATAGTGTAAGTAGGGTATAAATATGCAATACTGTAATGGTTAAAGATGTATATTTAAAAGAGGATTGCTTATTTGCATACTTTTGAATGGGGATTTAAAGTATCAATATATGTATAAAGCCTAAAGTGAATTATGCTTTATTCCAATATGTACATAGGACTACATAAAAACAATTAGAATTCTGTACATTTTGCTGCTCGGACTTGTATAAACTATAGGGAATGTGTCCCCAAGCTATTCACAGAAGGACTGGAAAGAGTTCTTGATGCCTTGAAAAGAATAATTTGAGACACACCATCTCTAAAGATCTACCCTTTTTCTATGCTGTTTTTCATGTAGTTTGCATTAAAATAATACTTGGTATCACTGATGGAACGGTTCTGTCAGCAGGAAAGTGAACGTGAATGTCCTCATCCCCCTGTATCCTTCCTGCTTCTTGTTAGCTCAAGCAGACCACTCACTTGGTTAACATTGATTTTGACCTTGGATTTTGGCCTATAATGTAAGTTCTATGTTAGAACTCAGAGCCTTTTCTCTTAGCTACTACCCTGCAGATTGATTTCAATTTGGTAATAGAATGAATCATGAAAATACAGTTTACTAGAAGTTGCCAAAGTAATGAATGCAAAGAGCCTTTGGTTTGTATTTATATATTGATTAAAAATATCTAAATCCTTCTAAATTAATTTATGACAAAGTTTCAGGAATTTCTGTTCATAATAAATTGTTGCATTTTGACTTCTCATAACTGAAGCTAGTGAGATAGTATATTCCAAATAAGTACAGGCTATAATTTTGAAATCTAATATCTTTTTTTAATATTAATTACAATTATTAAATCTTCAACAGTCTCCTTTCAAATCTTCAACAGTCTCCAGCTTTTTAGAAATCCAAATGGACACATTTCATACATCACAATACACACGTTCTATCTGAGCATAATGTTCAAAATGGTTCCTTCATCCAGCACTTTATCTCTCTCCTCCTGTATATGGAACAAGAATCCCCAAATCTACATGAGGAAGTACAGAGAGCTGCAACAAGATGTGCCAGAAGTCGGAGCTGTTTCGGGTCGTGGGGGAACTCCTCCACCCACCTGTGGTGGAGGAGCTCACTGATGACCCAGCAGCTCAGTGTCGCGATTTCGCACACCATTTTGCAGATAAAGTCGCTCAGATACGTCTCGAGCTCGACTCCACTTCCATCGCAGTGCCAGAGGAGGTGACGGAGGCACCTGCTTGTCCATCTTTGTGGGATTCTTTTAGGCTTGTTCTTCCTGAAACTGTAGAGGAGGTCCTTGGGGCTGTGAGGGCGACCACCTCACCTCTAGACCCATGCCCATCTTGGCTCATTAAATCAGCCAGGGAGGGGTTGGTTGATTGGTTTGTGTTGATTATTAATGCATCGTTGGAGCAAGGGATTTTTCCATCTAACCTGAAACAGGCTGTGGTTCGTCCACTTCTCAAAAAAGCTTCCCTTGACTCCACGGTGCTGAGTAATTATAGGCCAATCTCCAACCTCCCTTTTCTGGGTAAGGTGCTAGAGCGGGTGGTCGCCTCCCAGCTCCAGAGCTTTTTAGACGATACCAACTACCTAGATCAGTCACAGTCGGGTTTCAGGCCTGGTCATGGCACCGAGACAGCCTTGGTCGCCTTGGTGGATGACCTCCGCAGAGAGCTGGGCAGGGGGAGTGTGACTCTGTTGGTTCTCTTGGACATCTCAGCGGCTTTCGATACCATCGATCATGGTATCCTTCTGGGTCGTCTCTCTGGGATGGGCCTTGGGGGCACGGTTTTGTCGTGGCTCCGGTCCTTCCTGGAGGGACGAACCCAGATGGTGAAGCTGGGAGACGCCTGCTCTGACCCCTGGCCTTTGACCTGTGGGGTCCCGCAAGGCTCTATTTTGTCGCCCATGCTTTTCAACATCTACATGAAACCGCTGGGAGAGGTCATCCGGAGTTTTGGAGTCGGGTGCCATCTTTATGCGGATGACGCACAACTCTACTACTCTTTTCCACCTAATTCCAAGGAGGCTTCTCGGGTGCTGGACGAGTGCCTGGCCGCTGTGTCGATCTGGATGAGGAAGAACAAGCTGAAGATCAATCCCGACAAGACAGAGGTCCTCCTGGTCGATCGTAAACCGGATCGGGGTATAGGGTGGCAACCTGTGTTGGACGGGGTTACACTCCCCCTGAAGCCACAGGTCCGCAGTTTGGGTGTCCTCCTGGATTCTTCGCTTACACTTGAGGCTCAGGTGTCGGCGGTATCCGGGAGGGCCTTTGCACAATTGAGACTTGTGCGCCAGCTGCGACCGTACCTCGTGAAGGCAGATCTGGCCGGGGTGGTCCACGCCTTGGTCACCTCTAGAATGGATTACTGCAATGCGCTCTACGTGGGGCTGCCCTTGAAGACAGCTCGGAAACTTCAATTGGTCCAGCGGGCAGCAGCCAGGATGCTAACCGGGGCTCATTATCAAGAGAGGTCTACCCCTCTGTTTAAGGAGCTTCACTGGCTGCCATTTATTTTCCGAGCCCAATTCAAGGTGCAGGTGCTCACCTACAAAGCCCTGAACGGTTTGGGACCACCCTACCTGCGTGACCGCATCTCCATCTACGAACCCACACGCTCGCTCCGGTCATCTGGGGAGGCCCTGCTCGTGATCCCACCTACGTCGCAAGCGCGCTTGGTGGGGACGCGGGACAGGGCCTTCTCTGTGGCGGCTCCCCGACTTTGGAATGCCCTTCCAAAAGAGCTCCGTCAGGCCCCTACTCTAGCAGTTTTCAAAAGGAACCTAAAAACTTGGCTGTTCCGATGTGCCTTCGCAGATTAGGAATCCCCATCCCAAGTCCTAGATGCACTTTAGCACAACTAATGTGGCTGCACACCGCACTTTTAATCCTACGTTCCTCCTGCCATCTCAGCACTTTTAACCCTGTACCCCATTGCGCTGGCCGAACCAGTTTTTAATAGTGTCTTGATGTTTTGTCATTGTGGTTACTTTGCTTAATTGTTTTGATTTGCTTTGTTTATTGTTGTGTTATGTTTTCTATTGTATTGTGTTTTGAGGCTTCGGCCCATGTAAGCCGCATCGAGTCCTTCGGGAGATGCTAGCGGGGTACAAATAAAGTTAATAATAATAATAATAAGTCAGAATTCTAAAAACATGTCCTTTTAAGTCCTTTATAGATATATATCTATAAAGGACTTAAAAGCTGTACACATCTAGACAAAATTGTTGAAGATCCTGTAAGAAAAAGCCTTGCACACAACATTGAGTTTTTGCAGTGAGTTTTCCAGGCTATATGGCTATGTTCCAGAAGCATTCTCTCCTGACATTTTGCCCACATCTTTGGCAGGTCTGTTGGAAACTAGGCAAGTGGGGTTTATATATTTGTGGAAGGTCCAGGGTGGGAGAAAGAACTCTTGTCTGTTGGAGGCAGGTGTAAATGTTGCAATTAATTAATGCTGATTAATTGCAACATTTTTACCTGCCTCTAACAGCCATAAACTTCATTAAACGTGTGGAAGACAAAATTTCTTTTGCTAGAACAAAGTTTTTGGCCTCTAGTCAACTTATGCCATCTTTTCAGGACAGAAGCAATGAGGAACAGATATGTATGACTCGGGCACGAAACTCGTATGAATGATGTGCATATTCGCACATGCACATTTTAAAAAAACACTGAAATTTCTGGTGGACATCCTGTAGCAGCCACCTTGCAGGCTTTGAAATCCCGTAACAAAGCAGCAAGTCGACATCGCAGGTAGAAATCGGGACCAACAGGTCTATGTGCAGACCTGCTCTCTGGTCCCAGGTTTTTATTTTGTCCCTCATGATAAACCCGCAATTTGGTGCTGTCTGGAAGCGCCCTCACACAACCCAGCTGGTTATGATGACTTATTTTTATTATGATTGCCATTCACATGTGATAGTGAGGCCTTGCTCAAAAACAGCATGGAAAGAGTCAGGAATTGCTGGAGAAAAGTTTGGCAACAAAGCAAATTGGTGGATAGGCAATGGTGATGTGTATTTCAACTCAAGGGGAGAAAGATTCTGAATTCAGCTCTCGAGTTAAGTAATCAGTCTTTCCTAAGCCCAGTAAAACAGTTGCCCATTTCCTAATGAAGCACAGAGTGATGGAGAAATCCTTTCCACTGAGCTTTCCTTGGAAATCTTGCAGGGCTGCCCTGACATGTTTTGCTGTTCTGAAACAGGACAACATGTATTATTTTAGTTATTTTTATCCTGTCTTTCTCCCTGATACAGGATTACTGACTTCTGCTCCACATTTAAAACCTAGCTAGGGCAGCAATTGAATTTTATCTCAGGAAAACAGGCCTCTCTCTGTCTAATGGTCATTATTTTATATCATTGCCATTGGATACTTCTCCCTAATGCTAAATTCTGTATGTGGAAGGTGCTTTTTTGACAGAAACATGGCTATAAAAGGAGCAATTAAAATTCCTCTTTCAATGGTAACCCAGTGAAAAAATGTAAAACCTAACCAGAAAAGCAGTGGAATTTTACCTCATGTTTCCACCTCGCTTTAGAGCAGGGTGGGCAAGTTGCAACAGGCCTCAGCCACACTCGGCCTAAAACTATGGCCAGTATATATATATACACAACCAGCCGTCCCCTGCCACACGTTGCTGTGGCCCAGTCTGTTGATCTGGAAAATAAAGTAATGAGAAAGTGTTGGTTTCTAATATATGTAATTTCTTTATGCTTGTGGGTAAACAGTATTTCTTGCTGTTTCTTTGTTAGTGTTGATGTGGAGAGTGGTTTGTCTACTCCGGGACATGCAACATATCATTGTCCTTCTTTAGGGGTCCCTTTCAAGTCTATTATACTATATCTGTGTGTGAGAGAATAATATATTTCTATCTATATCTATGGCTGGATGGCTCTTTGTCAGGAGGGCTTTGATTACATTTGCTTGTCCTCATGAAGGGAGTTGAATGGCCTTAAGTATTTTCTGTTGGTCATGGGGGTTCTGTGTGGAAAGTTTGCCCCAATTCTATCGTTCGTGGGGTTCAGAATGCTCTTTGATTGTCGGCAAACTATAAATCCCAGTAACTACAACTCCCAAATGTCAAGGTCTATTTCTCCCAAATTCCATCTGTGTTCATATTTGGGCATATGGAATATTCATGCCAAGTTTGGTCCAGATCCATCATTGTTTGAGTTCACAGTGCTCTCTGGATGTAAGTGAACTACAACTCCCAAACTCAAGGTCAATGCCCACCAAACCCTTCTAGTGTTTTCTGTTGGTCATGGGAGTCCTATCTGCCAAGATTGGTTCAATTCCATCATTGGTGGAGTTCAAAATGCTCTTTGATTGTAGGTGAACTATAAATCCCAGAAACTACAACTCCCAGATGACAACTCAATTTTTTTGAGTGGAGAACATACATTGGGTTGTTAGGGGTATTGTGTCCAAATTTGGTGCCAATTGCCCCAGTGGTTTTTGAGTTCTGTGAATAGCACAAACGAACATTACATTTTTATTTATATAGATTATAATAATTTTATTTTTGTATCCTGCCTCCATCTCCCTGAAGGGACTCAGGGCAGCTTACGCAGGGACGGCCCAATCAACATAGCTAAAATATAACACATTAAAATATGTAAACAACAGCATAAAACAGCAAAACCACAATTATAACAAAATATAAAAGCAAATATC